CAACTGGAGGTCCTACCAGACAGTCATATAATCCAGATTATCAAGGCAGAAAACCCCACAATATCTGCTTTGAACTGGGTTATCTGAGTCCATACTGCCATATATTCCAGTTCAAAGCAGAAAATGTGGGATTTTGTTCAGCTGTGTGGAAGAACCATAGAATCAAAGAGTTGGAAGAGACCTCATGGGCCATCCAGTCCAACCCCCTGTCAAGAAGCAGGAATATTGCATTCAAATCACCCCTGACAGATGGCCACCCAGCCTCTGTTTAAAAGCTTCCAAAAGGAGCCTCCACCACACTCCGGGGCAGAGAGTTCCACTGCTGAACGGCTCTCACAGTCAGGAAGTTCTTCCTCATGTTCAGATGGAATCTCCTTTCTTGTAGTTTGAAGCCATTGTTCCGCGTCCTAGTCTCCAAGGAAGCAGAAAACAAGCTTGCTCCCTCCTCCCTGTGGCTTCCTCTCACATATTTATACATGGCTATCATATCTCCTCTCAGCCTTCTCTTCTTCAGGCTAAACATGCCCATCTCCTTAAGCCGCTCCTCATAGGGCTTGTTCTCCAGACCCTTGATCATTTTAGTCGCCCTCCTCTGGACACATTCCAGCTTGTCAATATCTCTCTTGAATTGTAGGGCCTAAAAACTTTTTTAAAAGTATAACTTCCACGATTCCATAGCACTGAGCCATTGCACTTAAAAGTATTCTCAAGAAGCATAGATGCAGTCATTGAAGGGGGAGAATAATCAAGCACCTCGCCTAGACCCTGATACACCGCCCAGCGCAGGCGCAAAGCCAGGTGAAACGTCACCGCATGACGTCACGCGGTGAAGCTTACTGGCGGGAAACTGCACTCTTCTCCTCCGCGAGGCCGGGGAGGGCGTGGCTTGGGCCGTGTTTTGCTAGGGAGTTGCCATGGTGACCCTCGGGCGTCTTTCTCCGAGTCTGAGGCCTACTCAGTGTGTGTTTGTGAGAGAGAAGAATCAGAGCCACCTTGCACCTTCTTCGTTCTCTGTGGCTGGTTTGAGGGCCTTCCTTTCGGGGCAGGGACAGATTTAAAGACTGTTCTCTTTGTGGCTGATGTGATTTAAGCTAAGCTCCTCAAGACGTGTGTCTCGGCCCACCTTCAGAGTTAGTTTCAAGGAGAAAGGTAGCAGACAGGTAGGTGGTTCTGACTCAGACATAGGCCTAGGGTGCATCAACATTTGTAGAATGAATGCAGGGTTGTTGTAGGTTTTTTTGGCCTATATGGCCATGTTCTAGAGAGGCATTCTCTCCTGACGTTTCGCCTGAGATGTCACTGCCTTGGTCCTTTCATTATTGCCTGCTCCTTCCTGGCAGATGTTAGGTGGTGCAATACCAGCGAAACAGTATAATTTCTCCAGTGGTGTAAGGTGTAGACATCCTACGATAATGCTGCATGTCTCATTAAGAGCCACATCCACTGTTTTAGTGTGGTGAGATGTGTTCCACACTGGCCATGAGTACTCAGCAGAGTAGCAACGCACAAGGGCAGATGTCTTCACTATATCTGGTTGTGATCCCCAGGTTGTGCCAGTCAGCTTTCGTATGATATTTTTTCTAGCACCCACTTTTTGCTTGGCAGTCAAGCAGTACTTCTTGTAGATTAGAGCATGGTCCAGGGTAACTCCCAGGTACTTGGGTGTGCTGCAGTGTTCCAGTGGGATTCTTTCCCAGGTAATCCTCAGAGTTTGATATGCTTGTCTGTTCTTAAGATGAAAAGCCCACATCTGTGCTTTAAATAGATTAGGAATCAACTGGTTTTCCCTATAATAGGCAGTAAGAACACCTAAAGCTTTGAAGAGTTTCTGTTCAACAATTTCAAAGCTCCCTGCTTGGGTGGTGATGGCACGATCATCAGCATAGATGAAGCTCTCTGACCCTTCTGGCAGTGGCTGATCATTTATGTAAATGTTAAACATTGATGAAGCAAACACACTCCCCTGATGGAGGTCTAATAATAATAATAATAATAATAATAGATTTAGCCTGCCCTACTTTCCCAGGGGGACTCAGGGTGGCTAACAACAAATATTGGCAAACATTCAATGCTATAAAAACTAGACCAAGACAAAACAACCCACCCCATCCTAACCCAAAACAAACAACATCTACATCAAAAGTAACAATAGGTTAATAAGAATTAATTAGTAACATGACGAATATACGATTCCGCAGTCTACATTGGGAAGAAACAGCTAGAAACTAAAGTAAACAAAATAAGGTAAAAATACTGGAAGTTTTGCAGGGTTTTTTTAAAAAAAAATGCAGCTGGCAGCCAGAGTGACCAGACATTTCCGGTCAATGGTGACTGACTATGCGTGATATTCTGTGCTTCCTCCTCTCGAATAGTTCCACTGATACACTAGAAACAGGGATTAATCGGGGGGAAATGCAATGTGCTAAATTATCCCTGAAAAGAACTCACATAGACACAGTAAACAGTAAACATGGAGGGTAATCACGATTCTTAGATACAAAACTTTTTGTGAGGAATATATTAATAAACGTCTTGTGTTTCTTTCAAGGAGAGTTTGCCTTTGCTTTTTTTGTATTGGTCTTTGTTTCAAATATTGGTTATTTTCTAGCATGCGTAAGAAAAAGTACTACATTCTTCTGTACAGAATGACATCTTAGGAAGCTTCAAACTTTTCCTAGTCAGGAAACGGCTTGAATCTTTCCAAGTATGGCTAATGGATAAGAATGGATAAGAAGGGATCAAAAGGAAAGATTTGTTACACTGATATTCTTGGTTCTTCTGTCTTATGATGCACTTTTTTCTGTATCATCAATGATAGTCATTAAGTCATGTGTAGACAATTAAAGAGCTTCATCACGATAGGGACAATTAGGTTGAAACATCAGTAACAAAGATTGCCCAGAAAATGTATTTCTGTGTATTGATCATGCATATATGTACATCTTGGAGTTTTTGTACTATATAATATGACTGCTTTCCACAGGATCCGCATGTCAGGATGGGCCTTTTTTGTTTAATCATTCATATTTCAAAAAGATATATTTCTTGTCTTTATGTTATACACTTTTCCTTTCCAGATATCTGACTTAAAAGAACAAGCATAGAATTACACCTCAGTAAACTGTAAGTGTTTGTTATCTTGAATAATTACAATTCAAGCATTGAAGAATGTGGATATGACGAGCGTAGTTGTCCTTCTGATCCACCTTTTGATGCCAGTAGTACACATACTACTTTCTGTTGAATTGTATTGTCAAGGATTCCCTTCTGTATATAGTATTTGCTGCCACCATAATGAGTTGTTATACCTTAAAATAAAACAGCACCTCCTTATTATGATGGTGAATACTGTGTGCTTAGAGTGGTTTCCTGGATAGAACAATTTTAAGTTGACCCCAAATATGTGCATTTTAAATTGACCCCAAATATGTGTTCTACAGGCTTTTTGTACTGAGATGAATTCACCCATGGCAATTATGCTGCCAAATGCCCTTTCAGAAAGGCCTAGTTTATATTTCTGGTCCTTTGTAACTGATGGGCAAGCTTCCGTAGACTTAGTTTAGAAAGAGATCAGATCCATATTAGCTCATATTAATCTTGGATCATTATAATGTTTTGATCTGACCTCAGTTTTGTAATTGGAACATTATACAATCTCCATTATGAGCATTATGCTGTATTATGAGATCTGGTCATGACCATTTTCCCTGCTCTGACTCCTTTGCCATTCTCACTAAATCTTTTTCGCCCATTATGACAGCAGCAAATAACTGTTGCCGCCTTGATTAGTCTTTAGAAAACTACAATGATCACACTCCAAATTAGGTTTGTGGTAATTGTGGTGAAAGTATGCTTCACAATAGTTTTAATAATCTAATGCTATGAAGGACTGAGGTCGGTTCCACACATACATTACACCCACATTAAAGTGGGTTTGAATGAACAACAACAAATCCACACAAGCAGGGGGAAAAACAGGCTTTGCCCATCGGCTGTCCACATGCCATCCCGAATATTTCCGGGATGACATGTGGCCATTCAATACCACCCCCATCCCCCAAATCCTTTAAAAAAAAAGGAAACTCACCAGGAGCCATTTGGCTTCTCCTGCCTGAAGGAACATACTAATGACATGCAAAAAAGCTAGGGGGAGCCAGGAGCGATTTGCTCCCCCCCCCCCTCTTATTTTTGGGCATCATTGGTATGTTCCTTCAGACAGGAGAAGCCAAATGGTTTCCTCTGAGTTTCTTTTTTTATTTTTGAGAGTTTTGTGGGGGGCGGGGTTGGGAAGGGGGTTGTTGTCTTCACGGTTTTCCAGGCTGAATCAGCCTGGGAAATATGAAAGGGCTGTCTCCACTGCCCCTCAGAAGTCCAGGATTTCTGAGAGGCAGTCCAGACAGCAAAGTTTTCCTGTTTGTGCCGAAACCATTTGTTTTTCCCTAAGATGTTGTCTGGACTCCCCAGGGAAAAAACACGAGAGGGCACACACTTTAGGTGCTGTCTGGATGCTCCCTGAATAAGAGTCCTAGCAGCAGCTTTTTTCGGCTGGATCTACACTGCCCTATATCCCAGGTTCTGATGCTAGATTATCTGCTTTGAGCTGGCTTATATGAGTCTAGACTACCAGATAATCTGAGATAATCAGATAATCAGGGGTCAGATCCTGGGATATAGGGAAGTGTAGATTCAGCCCTAGGACGGTCTCAGGCAGCACTTTAATGTGTGTGCAATCAAAATTTTAAAAAGCCCCCCCCCCCCAAGCATGTGCTTTTTTGGAGGTGGGGAGGTGTTCACATACCCTGCTGTGCTTTCCAGCAGGGCACCGGGACAGAAAAGAAAATCCTTTAGAGCAGCCTTTTAAAAAGGAAAATAATTCACTTGGTAGTCATTTTCCCTTCTCCGGAGTTCTCCTGGGTAATACCAATGATGCCCCAATGTGGGGGGGGGGGGCAGGAGTAAGTTATGACCCGGGAGAACTCTGGAGAAGGGAAAATGGCTGCCAGGTGAGTTATTTTCCCTTTTTAAGGTTGTTTTAAGGGAGTTCAATTAATTGGCTGAGCTCAAATTTGTATGTGTTAGTAATTCATTTAGAAGTTCCAAACAGATGAAGTTTATATTAGCCTTGATCTGATCTTGCATAGTGGCATAGGCTACCTTTCAGCTATTGCTATTACCCCTCCTCCCCATGTCAGCTGTTCTTACTTTTAAAGCAAAGTAAATTTCCTTGCAATAGCTCTAACAATTAGAGAATTTTCTTTCTATTTTTCGAGCGCCTTGTTTCTACTTCCATTAAAAGTTTGTGCCTCGAGGCCTGCCAGCAGGGCTTACAATACCTACATTAAACCAAATTTAAGAGTAAGGGTGCTCCTGCTGCTAACATTCTTAGATCACAGGCGTGCAAAACGAAGGAACTGGCAGCTGTACCTTTAATGGTGGGAAGTGTAAGCTGAGTATGTGGGGAAAAGAACACAGTGCTCTATATGACAAAAAAGTCCCATTAGCATTTATGAACTTCAAAATGACAAGCCAGACTGCTCTGTCTTAGGGCTTTTTTTTTGTTCTGCTTAAAAGATATAACACTTCTATTCATATAAGACTAATTATGGTATTAGGTAGCTATCATATTGTCATTGCAACACACTAGTTAACGATATACTATTGATATATGGCGTTATTAATGATATGCAAGCCAAGTTCGTTATATTTCTTTATGTGGTTGACAATAATAAGTTCTATACGCATTATTGTCCTGTTTCTTTTTAACATATAAAAGAATTCACTTTTCAGACCACACTATTTGTAGAAGTGTTCTTCTACAAGTACAGTGAATATTTGAGGCAAAAATGAAATACTGATCTGACAAATACTATTGATAATTCAATGAAAGAAACAGTTATCCTTGCTTTTCCTAGCCAATAAAAACAGCTATGTTAACACATGCTATTGCTATATTTATACTTATTTTGTTCATTGAGCCTACAAGTGTTTTAATTTCCCAACTGTTCCTTTTTAAACATCAGTGCTTTTCATATCTATGTGACTATGTCAACAGAACGCTTATTCCAAGCATTATTTTTTGAGAGTAAGGAATATACTCGTCTTTCAAAACTTCCTGAGAATTCTAATTTAAAAGATTTCCCCTGTGTTTTCATTTTTCTTCGAAGTTTACAAGTACTAACATTTTATCATGCCTCCTTCTATTTGTGCAAGTGCTATTTTGCATACTTTTCTACAATTTATACCTAATGAGTTAGTTTAATAACTATATACATTTTTGTGATGAATGCTTAAGAGAACTGAAAACTATTTTAATGAGTTACTTAAAGTATTTTGTATTTTCCTTAGTTCAAAATGAGTATATTTCCTCCGGTGCCAATTAGAAGTCCCAAAGCCCACCCAAGTATGGAAGATATGAAGTGCCCTTCACCAAACCTTGCAAGGTGTGTGTCTTTTGTTCTTATTTTCTTTCGCTTGATTGCTGTATTTGATTGTGGCCCTTAAAACCGTGTAGCATGAGTTGAGAAATGAAGGTCTATGGGCCATATTGTGACCCTCAGCACTTCCCATGGGTGTTTTTTTTTTAATGGTTCCGTCTCCCCTATCCCTCCCCTCCATGATATGAAGGGTCAGTTTTGTTATTGTTTTAGGCACAGGAGTTTTAAATAGAAAATAATCTAGAAGTTGAATTCAAGATCACTGTTTGTTGAAATGCTTATTTGTTTGATTTATACCTCACCTTTTTCCTGGCATGTGATCCAAGGAGTCATTCATCAGACTTCACCTGCATTACTGTGTCCAGTTCTGGGCACTACGACTGGAGAAGGACATTGACAAATGGAATGTGCCCAGAGAAGTGTGACCAGGATAGTAAATGGTCTGGAAGCCAAGCCCTAGGAGGAACAGCTTAGGGAACTGGGTATGTTTAGCCTGGCGAAGAGAAGCTTAAGAGATGACCCGATAGACATGTTTAAATATTTGAAAAGATGTCATATTGTGATGAGGGGACATTTTTTTTCTGCTGTTCCAGAGAGTAGAAGCAATGGATTCAAACCACAGGAAAACAAATTTCGCCTCAACATTAGGAACAATTTTCTGATGGGAAGAGCTGTTCAACAGTGAAATACACAGCCTTGGAGTGTGGCAGTCTCCTTTTCTAAAAGTTTTAAAAAAGAAGCTGGATAGCTATCTGTCAGGAGTGCAGAGCAGAGGGATGGACCGGATAACCTTTGTAGTTTCTTCCAACTCCATGATTCTATGACATTGATAGCAATAATATAAAATTATGCCCATATAGCTCAGGAAATCATATTATTTTCAATTATAGTAAATCTCAGTGGGTCTAATGCACTTGGAACTAGCAATTTGATTTAGGCCCAAGTTCCACTTCTTTATTACCAAATGTATGCATTTTTGGCCTAGATCAGTGTTGCTCAACCTGGGGGTCGGGACCCCTTGAGGGGTCGCAACGGGGTGTCAGAGGGGTCGCCAAAGACCATCAGAAAACACAGTATTTTCTGTTGATCGTGGGGTTTCTATGTGGGAAGTTTGGCCCAGTTCTATTGTTAGTGGGGTTCAGAATGCTCTTTGATTGTAGGTGAACTATAAATCCCAGCAACTACAACTCCTAAATGTCAAGGTTTATTTCCTCCCAAACTCCACCACTATTCACATTTGGGCATGTTGAGGATTTGTGCCAAGTTTGGTCCTGATCCATCATTGTTTGAGTCACAGTGCTCTCTGGACGTAGGGGAACTTCAACTCCAAAACTCAAGGTCAATGCTCAGCAAACCCTTCCAGTTTTTTCTATTGGTCATGGGAATTCTGTGTGCCAAGTTAGGTTCAATTCCATTGTTGGCGGAGTTCAAAATGCTCTTTGATTGTAGGTGAACTATAAATCCCAGCAACTACAACTCCCAAATGGCAAAATCAATCCGCCTCCCAACCCCACTAATATTCAAACTCGGGCGTATCATATATTTGTGTCAAATTTGGTCCAGTCAATGAAAATACACCATACACTATTTACTTTACAATTGATAACAGTAGCAAAATTACAGTTATGAAGTAGCAACAAAAATGATTTCATTTTTGTGGGGTCACCACAACATAAGGAACTGTATTAAGGGGTCGTGGCATTAGGAAGGTTGAGAAACACTGGCCTAGATGATGTGTTATCTGTTTAGCTTTGTCAGATTATTTAAAATAATAAATATTTAAGTCAAGAATTCATTTAGCAAAGATAACTGTGCATAATGGATAAAAAGCAGGAAGGATTGCAAAATGCTTTTGTGAGAAAATGGCATTAGCTTTAAAATGAGGAGTGTTTTCATAAATATGAATATACTTACACTGGAAAACTATGGCATACCTTTGTAGTTTTGAGTCAGTATTTATGGGATTGCATTGTTTATATGAAAATTTAAGATACCTTTGTGGCTTACAAGAAAATCAATTTAAGCCATTTAAAATTTAAAACAGAAATAATTTAAACATTCCAAAAGCATATTAAGCAATGCTAATAGTTGCAAAAAGTTAACAAAAATTAAAAGCATGTATATGTACAGTTGCAGATAATATAATTAGACTTTTAATAAGTCAGTGTTTTTATTTGGTGCTCAAAATGAAATCAGGGTGAGTGCCAATGATACTATAAGTAAAGGTAAAAGTTTCCCCTGATATTAAGTCTAGTCGTGTCTGACTCTGGGGGGTGGTGCACATTTCCTTTTCTTAGACAAGGAGCGATTGTTGTCCATAGACACCTTCAAGATCATGTGGCCAGCATGACTGCATGGAGTGCCGTTACAGCAGAAGTGGTGCCTGTTGATCTACTCACATTTGCATGTTTTCAAACTGCTAGATTGGCAGAAGTTGGAACTCACCCCGCTCCCCAAATGCGAACTGCCGACCTTTCAGCGAGTTCAGTAGCTCAGCGGTTTAACCTGCTGCACCACAAGGGGCCTCTAATGTGACTATACAAAGAGGGAAATCTGTGTCGCAGACCTCAGGAAAGCATAATTAGGAGGATGAGCTTTTTCAAGTATTGAGGTCCCAAGCTATTTAAGACTTTCAATGTGATTAATTAACACCTTGAATTCAGACCATAAAAGAACCCCCAATTTGGGGTAGATGTATTTCTGGGCATTATTTATTTAACAGAAAAAAGGGTACCATAGATAGAAATATCTTGAAAAAAACAGAAATGAGTTCATGTACAACAAAGAAGAGTAATTCAACATGTTTCAGTAGCCTATTTATCCTGAAGCTGACAAGATGCACATATGAAATAAAACAGATCAAGTGCGCCTTGCATAAGGAAACAAAATCTTTTGAACCTACATGAAAGCTTCATCCAAAATGAATCCAGAGACAACTTTTTCTTTCACCAGTCTCCACATTTCTTATGATGTTCATTTGGTGGCCAAAATGTATAGATCTACGCTTTTTTAACATGCTGGAGGTAGCTCACAAGCCTTACTACTCACCCCTTTGCTGTTCTAAGGGATTATGGAAGCAGCTACTGTTTAGCTTACCTGATGTAGACAAGTACACATAACTTCAATAGGATCAGTTAGAGTAATGGTTCTTAACCTGTGGGTCCCCAGATGTTTTGGTCTTCAACTCCCAGAACAGCTGGTAAACTGGCTGGAAATTCTGGGAGTTGTAGGCCAAAAACACCTGGGGACCCACACATTGAGAACTATTGAGTTAGAGTAGGATCACATTCTCTCCCAGTTCAGATTTTAGTAGAGAGTTTACTGGAGACATACGGTTTGAATCTGGCACCAAAACTCTGCGTTTTTCCAGCCCTCCATCACCTCCCACCCCAGTTCAAATGCCACTGAAAATCCTCAAGCTAAACTGAGGACAAAGGGGAGTCTGGGTGGGCAAAAATGTCTTTATTAGAGGCTTTGCTGACTTATGCATGACTGTATATCAAGAAATTGCATGTAAACACTTTTCTGAGCAGTGGTGGCTGGTTGTTGTCATGTCTGTGAAGCAGTCAATCCTCTCCAGGCTTTAGTCCAAGTTGCTGAACCCCTTTTGGGAATAGGCTTTGGCACCTTGGATAGCTCTTTTAAAGTTTGGACTCAAGCCTGGAGTAGATTGGTTGTTTCAGTGACATAGAAGCCATGGGCTACTATCATTTCTTAAACATCAGAGTGTGTCCTGATACATTACATGTCTGCAAATATATATCAAGAAGGCTGAGAGGAGACATGATGACTATGTATAAGTGTCAGCTCACAGCAGCCGTTCCCAATGAAGACACAGGACCTCGATCCGTTATCAAAGAGAATCTTTATTACTGGATACATGAACATATGAAAAGCCGAGATTGACCAGAAGCCGCTGGTCACTCCTTATATACACTCCCCTTCATTTGAAGGTACAATTCCCACCGAATGGAAAACCCTGCACAGTGTTCCCGCCGTACTATAAACCGTTGTCTTCCAAGGTCGACAGCTGCAGAGTTCTTACCAAAGTCTTACGTCAGGACCCTAGTTTTCAGCGCCAAAACTGAGGGCCTGGAAACTGGATCCTGACATACAAGTATGTGAAAGGACGTCATAGGGAGGAGGAAAGAAGCTTGTTTTCTGCTCCCATGGAGACTAGGACATGGAATAATGGCTTCAAACTACAGGAAAGGAGATTCCACTTGAACATTAGGAAGAACTTCCTAAATGTGAGAGCTGTTCAGCAATGGAACTCTCTGCCCTGGAGTGTGGCTGAGGCTCCTTCTTTGGGGACTTTTAAATAGAGGCTGGATGGCCATCTGTTGGGGGTGCTTTGAATGCAATTTTCCTACTTCTTGGCAGGGGGTTGTACTAGATGGCCCACGAAGTTTTTTCCAACTCAATGATTCTATGAGTCTATGATTCTATTATATAATGCCGTTTATTACTTTAATTGTAAGATGCCATCAATTGTAAAACACACCCTAATTTCAGTACCACTGCTGCCATATATGTTATGGCATCAAATATATATGTTATGGCATCAAATTCTTGCCTGTTCTAAGGCCGCCCTGAGTCCCCTTCAGGGTGAGAAGGACAGGTAAATAAATAAATTATATACCTGTGATTTTAAGATGCACCCCATTTTTAGAGATGTTTATATAGGAAAAAGTACATCTTCCAACTGAAGAAATACAGTATACTACAGGTGGTCACACTTAATTGATGGTATGTATATTAAAACACTGAGGAAGTGAATCTCTGTAAAAGAAAAGAAAAATCATAAAATTACAGCTAATGAGATGGGCTGGAGAACTATTAATAAAGATCAAAGTTCTTTTTACACACTGTATAGCAGTTAACCTGGTTTCACAACTGAAAGTAACAGACTCCCAGCCCATTATACTCTCTGACATGTTGAATGCGTGTTTGATAATAGTCAGACAATGCCTTGGATCTGTTGGGTCAGAATCCCTTTGTTTCATGCGATGCTTCTAGAATGGCTGGGGGGAAATGTTAATTCTGGAGCTAACATGCTTATTTTTCTTCCCATTGGTACCAGTGGAAAGAAAAGGCTGAAGAGGGAAGGGCTTGCAAATTGCCTGCCTGCCTTCCCTTGTTGGCATAGGCTATCAGAACGTGATAAGGAGAAGTAGTTCTACTCTAACCTGTACAATTGCTTTCCTTGTGTGTTTACCATAATACCTATGTCTCAATCAGTTCCAATAGTGCACCATTCTGATTATTAAGGGGGCATTTATTGTCCAACTACTGCAAATCATGGAGAATCTTGCAAGGTTTGTAACACTGACAGGGAAAATGAAAGTCGGAAATAACAGGAACCTTCTGCCAAAGCCATGTGTACCTTTCTGCAAGAAGCAACAGACCAAAGAGTTAAAATTATATGCATACATGTTTATAGTATGTGTTTGATAAAATACTTTGTCAATATTTTAATATATATCTGTCTTTGCTCGGCAGAGATTAATTCATAATATATGTAGCAGATTTTGACACTGAGTCACCTCACAGTGTTCTTTATTTTTTTAAATTTAAATTTAGGATGCATTTGATCAAAGGCAAAGATGCCATAGATCGTTATTTGGCCATGCATATCAAAGGATTGTCAAAACAAGAGGCTGCCGCGTAAGTAAGGTCTTTCTGAAGCCTTTTTTTATAGAACAAGTTTATTGTTTTCTTTGTTTCTGGTGTTATTCATTGAAATCTAAAGTTCCTCAGGCAATTTTCTGAGGAACATGGCATTTAAAAATTAAAACTGATATTAAATAATTATGTTTCAGTGCTACTTATCTTGCATATATCAAAGCGTTTGGTTCAATGCCTGTGTTAATTCATGATTCACCAAAGTATTTTCATATTTGCAGCATTTAATTGTTTACCAGTAATTAAAACTTTCCATTTTTCTTCCCTGTTTGGTGAAAACCACTCACTTAAGGCTAAAATATTATGTTTCAAAATCCTGTTGTGTTTTATTGTGCTGATTCTTTATCGTGTGCTCTCTCTTTGAAAGCTTCTGTCCAAAAACAGCCTAGGGGAAATGCCATTTCTTATAAAAGTTATACAGTTTCTATACAATATTTCAAAAAGTCTGTATAACAGCATTTTGGTGTCTTTCTTGTGTCATTGAAATTAGTGTAATAATTCACAACTTCTGTTCAGGATTTGTCACTGTAGGGAATAGCATCTTAATTTCATCCAGCATCTTTCATTGCCTTATTCCATACAAAAGACCCTATCAGTCCCAACTGTATTTATTTATTTATTTGCTACATTTGTATACCACCCCTCTCAGCCCGCAGGCAACTCGAGGCGGTTCACAAGGCAACAATTCAATGCCAACATCATAAAAACATTTAAACATTTAAAAGCATTAACACATCAATTCAAACCATAACAGTAGTAAAAACATATCATTTCGTCTCCTGGATAAAAACGTAATCCAATCTCATAGTTCAATTGTTCCATAATCCTATGTCTGATTACACTGCCTTTTCAAACAACTGCTCAAATAGCCAGGTTTTGACTTTTTTCGGAAAGTCAAAAGAGAGGGGGCTGATCTAATCTCCCTAGGAAGGGCGTTCCACAGCCAAGGGGCCACCACTGAGAAGGCCCTGTCTCTCGTCCCCGACAAACGTATTTGCGACGCAGACGGAGTCGAGAGCAGGGCCTCCCTAGACGATCTTAGGGACTGTGGGAGCTGAAGTCCAAAACACCTGGAGGGCCAAAGTTTGCCGATGCCTGCTCTAGATGTACCCTTAGTCATTTTCTTTTCAGATAAGACAGATTTTTAAAAGACTTCTATTAAAATAAAATGAACTTTCCAAAAGTATTGTTTTGAGGTAATACATCATATGACTGCATTCATTTATTTCCTGGCTTCCTTGATGTTTACCAACTGTTTAGGATCTCTATGAAGTCCAGTGCCAAAGCCTGAATCATTTTGTCTATATAGAATTTGGGCTTTTCTTTCTCTGCTTTGTCTTTTCTGGAAAACAAACCCTTGCATAACTACCCCCTTTCCCCCTTTCTTCATGCTTTAAGTTGGGTAGTAAAAGAACATAATGCAAATAATCTTTATAATTTATGAAAAAAACAAAGGAATTAAGGATGCAGTTATACATGTGCTTACTTGAAAATAATTCCCAATGCAGGAGATTTGCTTTTAAATAGAGATGTATAGGAATTGCAGTGTACATTGTATTATGATGCAGGAGCAAATGCTGGAGCACATAGTACCATTCCTTCTATTTCATTTTATTATTATGAGACTAGCAAATTCAGAAACAAGAGGCAGAAATCAGTAGGACACTGTTCTACTACCAATACTATTACAAAAAGGACAGTACAGTAGTTTAAACTGTCACATTTATTGGTTGGAAAACATAAATACAGTCTTCCTGTGCAAAATTATGCTGTTCTTTTGCATTCGGTCAAAAATACTGTTATTTTATTATAGAATGTAAACCAAGATTTTGTTTTTTAATTAGAACAAAGAAAGGTAACAGTACTTGCTGGAAGAGTTTAGTTCAGACTTGAGATCATTTATGAAGTATTCCACAATTAACATTATGCAATATTGATATAGAATGTCTGTCTGTCTATCTGGTATACAATATATAAGATATCAATGCCGTTTCTAGCTGAAGAAATCCTTATAATGTGAGATGTAATTTCAGGGCTACTAAACTGTGTCCATGAGATGTGTAATTCGGACATATTGCAGTAGAAGACTATATGAAGTTTGTTTGTTTGTTTTTAGTATATTGGGTGACTACTAATACTCAAACAGTTGCTATTCAGCATGGGCAAAAATTGTCATAACCTTCTAGTGAAAGGTTTGTGATGTGATGCTTTTTATTCCAGTATACTGCTAAGCACTGTCTTTTTAGAAGTGGTCTCAATTACATTCAGTGGGACTCCAAGGAAGGTAGCATAGGATTGCAGCCTTACTTCCTAAAAAGTAATTTAAAATTAATTACTAAAGTCAAGGATGTATAACTATTTTAATTCCTCGATACAGTGGGATGCCAGTCTGTTAGTTTTCCTCCTTAAGAAAAAAGCCCACATATTGGATAAGAGGGGAAAGATTCAGATATCTTAATCAAGACAGATTTAATGTTTTATATGCTCACAACTTCAGTCTATTTTAAGAATTCTTTGTATTTCTCATCAAGCAAACCCTTATCAAGAAACCATAAATAGTTTGCATATAGATTTGTAAAACAAAGGGCAAGTTCACATATGCCATAAATGTGTGGATTATAAATTATGTGAGGCAAGACAGCAGATTTAAAGTACATAAATTCTCATACCTTGAATGTCGGATCCCACGCTGCCATCCTGTACTCATTTACCTAAGTGTAAGTTTCATTTGATGTCAGTGAATTGCAGATCTATGAAGGGCTGCACTGTTAACGTGAGCTGAGGTTTATGCATTTAATACCCACTCAAACAGGATTCACATGCTGAGTGTGTAATATTTATAAAATAATTTTGTGCATGTCTGTTAACTCTGCTAGAATTAAGGAAGCCTCGTGGTACTTCCAAATATGTATTCAGAGGACCACAGACTTAATTTATGTAACCCAAATTCTGTTTGGCTTCCCCACTGCCTCATTCTGTCCGATCCATCTATTTTTCCCCAGCTGGCCATTCTTTCTCCGTGGTGGCATTGCAGAACGTTGTGGCTGCAGTTCTAAATAGACTTACCAAGGGAGTAAGCCCTGCTGGACATAGTAATATCTGAGTAGCCATACAATACAGGATTGTATTATAACTTGCCTTCGTTCACACTTGTGACAGGCATCAAACAAATTTGACATTTGAAAAATATTTCTAAAACCACAGAAAACCAACTTCAACAAATAGAAGTCCTATTAGGTCATCTTTGTTGGCAATCTTGTTCCTGTAAATGATGCCTTATAAATTAAGAAATATTAATCCGTAAAGCAATGTATTGAAGATCTAAAAAAGTAATTTTAATGATAGTGAATTATTTGTGAATTGGCAATTAGTTGTAGAATTTTATTTGATCTCTATACATATACCTGTCTAATTACAGTGATGCCCCATCCAAGTTTAGATATATAAATTGTGAAAAAGCAAGTGTGATTTTCAATATGTTGTATTATGGAGTTGTCTTGTTCATATGCAAATAAACTAGTCATTCTGGGATAAGACCCCGAACTATCCTTTGACTTTGATTTTCTGATCTTGCATCTGTAATAACAATTAACATTGAATTGCCACTAAACAGATTATCTTCATTACAGGGGGGGGGGAGGGGAAGAGAATTTGGTCATTACTCCTAGATTTTTGATTTTTTAAAAAAATTCTGGTACTTCTGCAAATTGTTGAGGGTTTTTGTAATTTTAAAGATCATCCTTTGCTTGTATGTATGTTACTTTTTTTACTACATAAGGATTCACACAAGATAATGACCTTGCTATTGATGTATATGTTGTTTTTTTATAATAAAAGCATCCACAATCAATTTTTTTTCTAATCCTCCTGCTACTGTGAGAAAAGTTGTCTAAGTTATAAACAGCATTATAAGACACGGTTTGTTTTTTTGGGTAATGCTTTCACAGTTTCAATATTGTTTAAATATGTATTGTTTTCCAGCCTAAATAATTCTTAATAATCTTCCTTGTTGTGACCAGGATTCGGTGTTTTCATTCAGCAACATGGTCTCCCAGAGATACATTCTGTTTGAAAGAAATAAGGAAGAGAGTGTCTTTTTATTCAGATTAACATGCTTCCACACTTTCTTTTAGTCTGATATGCATATCAGCGTGATTAGAGAAAGACAAAAGAAAAGAAATGTATGGTAAATGAATAGTTTACCTTATGTGAAAAGCTACTCTACACATTTGTATAATATGGAAGACTTTTCTTGAAAAGGTTAAAAAGTTCTAATCAACTTCTGTACATTATGTAGAAGTTCCATTTTCTAAACTCTGCAAAAGAAAGTTTCATATTTAATGGGAAATCATGAATAATTCCATTTATTATCTACTTCCTCCTTTCAAAGACATGATCTGGATAAAAGGCGGGGTGAATAATTTCAAAAAATACAATACATTTTTAATGGGAAGGTGCAAACTACAGATTCTCATGACTATTAGCAAGTGTAGGGGAAACAGAATTTTACTTGCAAAAACTCATCATACTCTGGCGAAGATAAAATACAAAGACACACTTTAATAAAGGAGAACACTGAGCTGAAGTTTTACTTTTTAATGTCACTTGTTGTTTTTGCTAAGTTTAGTCCTATGGTTTCCTTAAGCTTTGATTTCTCAATAGTTCAATAGCATTTGGTATGGAATATAGGATACAAGTAAACAATTGTGCCTTATTTGAAATGTGCCTAGAATTATTATGGAAATATTCAGTGTGCAAAATGATACAAAATACAAATGGGACTTTGACCTAGAATTTAGAGAATAGATATTCTGGATTTTGAATAAATTATTCTGCTTTATAATCTTATGCTGAAATGTTTCAGGCTGTTTTTTTCCAATTTAAAAATCTGTTTAGTCTGGATGATGCAAATCTAACGTCCTTCTGATGGTACTTCTTAAAAGGACCCAATCCTGGATCTTGTTTTTCAGTCAGGTCTGGTT